TGTGTTAGGAGGAGCAGCGACAGGTTTGTGTGATGCTGAGTGATAAGGGGAACACCTGTACCCACCTGCTAGGTTGTCAGCATATGCACACATAGAGATCACATTCTAAAGAGGTGAGGGGGATTGCCGCATGAATGCAGGTGGGAGGAAGAGAGGCTAGCAAATATGAAAGTATCAAAAACATAAAGAGGAGGGAGATGCTGAGAAAGAAAAGTTCCTCTCAAAGCCCAGAGAGGGCACGTTGTGCAGAAGAAAGCCAGTGTGAAATTAGCTGAATGTAGGAATCCCACTGACCCACTTCCTGGGGTGGGGGTGGCCACAGATGCAAGCAGGAAGCTCAAGGCCAACAGTGAGCCCCGGACTGCACCAGCAGAACCTCAGGACCCACTCACTTTGTGCAGCCACCTGCTCTGAAATGGTTAAACTCCACTGACTGTACCTTGTAGGAACTCTGCACATACAATGTGTCCCACGTCCCTCCTGACCTGGGTATCCACTGTCCTAGTGAGGTAACAACACATATCCTCCAATAGCCCTCAATGTTGAGAGGTGGGTGCACGTGTGTGTGTGTGAGACAGAGTTTGGGGTGGGGGGTGAAAAAAGCTGTGGATAAAATTACATGACTTATTTTGGTCAATGTAAACAGCACCAGAAAGATGAAAAACTGCACAGCCACACAGACGCATCGAGGGGATTTTTCATTTGTTTGCCTGAACGACTCTGAGCTGTTCTGAAGCAAGAGCCTCTTAGCTCATTTACTGTAACTGCTGCACACCTACGCAGACACTGAGTCAGAGGCAACAAGGAACTAAACTCTGCTGCCGACACTGTCACATTTGGAAGGCACCACGGTTGGATGGGTTAAAAGATGGAGAAGATGTACAACAGGTCAAATAATGACAAGAAGTAATGTTCTCCTTGGATTATCTAAACTGTGCTTCCACAGTATGTATCCAAAAACATTTCACTGAACAGACTGTCATTTCTGATATGTTTCAAGTAAGTTGAAATTTAATTCTGACATCTAGCTAGGGGGGCATTTTTCTGGTTTGCAGTGTGTATGAGGCAGTCTATCACTATCACTCTGTAGCTTGGAGGCAATGAGATCACTGGACCTGTCACCTTTCTCTTTCAGTGTGTGTGTGTGTAATATCATATCAGTGTTTTAATGTTCTCAGCCTCATGCATGCAGCCCCTGACTAATGTGACATTCCTGAGCCATTAGTGACAGACATACAACACCACCATTTAATAGAAAGGGGGTGGGTGGTGGTGGTGGGGGCTCTGTCTGTCCCCTGTCCTTGCAGTCTACCCTTTAGTCAATCTAATACTTTGATTTCCCTTTAACAAGAAATAATGATAATCACTCTAAGAAAAGAGGACTGGCATTCATTTTCATTTCTCACGTGCTGTTCCTGTGGAGAAACTGTCTAAACATTACCGCCTTGCTCAAATAAAGGAAAACAAAAATTAGGATGCTCTGTTTTGGAGATACAAAAACTCTGAAGCCTGGATGTTGCTTCATGAACAATGTCTTTGTTTTATGTACACAAATGCTGATGTTTGACAATTTGCAGCTGGATGAGTTTTAATTTGTTATAGAGCGCTGTCATTTTGGAAGCGCAAAATATATGCTTCTCTACGTGGAGCTTCACATGTGTGTAACAGGACAGATTATAGGGCTGCATAAACTCCACTCTCTTTATTTAAGTAATAGGAAGCAGCAGTGTACAGTATGTCAACCATGAGACAAACACACGAGACTAAAGTTTTTGGAAAGCTGGAATTGCAGTTTTCCCCCTGCGCTGCTCTGCGCTCAGTGGATGTGTTTGCAGTGATGTTTGAGACACGGGAAGTGGCCTGTCAGTCTTGTATAAACACAGCCCCTCGAAAAAGTGCTGATATAAAGCATCTGGGTGCGGCTACAGCTGTTTTTTTGTACACAGATGTGTGAGTGTGTTTGTGAACTGGAGACTGCTCTGTGCTAGTGGTCCAGACTGAGGAAGAGACAACATACAGTATAATGCTGAAATCAGAGCAGACACGAGGAGCAGAGCTGAATCACTAGAGGATCAAATTCGAGCCAAGAGGGTTAAGTCACTAGGTTAAAGTTTCAAACCCACTAACAAGCTGCAGGGGTCTTACACAATGTCACTGACCACAGACTCCCTCCTCTGTTGGTCTTTGGTGCTCAATCCCAACTCTCTCTGCCTTTGTCTCTTAAAAAAACATTTAAAAAGATTGCCTGTAGAAAATAAGAGAGCAATGGGTGGTGAAGAATGAACATTTCTCTTTGCCGTCTATCAGATCAGTAGAGAATTTGCAGAGGAATGCCTCATGTTGCAACATAGACTTGATCAATGACATTGCTGTGAGGCCAGAGACAATACTCTTGCCGTGAACTCTTTTCATGTGAGGGTTTTGTACAGTTCTGAATATTTCATGCACACAGACAACCACACACATGTAACTGCATAACAAATGCTCACAGAGAGCTCAGTTCCCTGCACAAATAAACCAGTTTTACCCAAGGACAGGATATAGCCTTTAGGAGGGGGTACACACCATTTCCTGCTGCACTCCTGCTGTCCCCTTCAGTGGTGTGTGTATGTGGCATGTTGCTTCCTCCTAAACACAGTGTCTCTGTCCCACCAGGTCAGAGGGTAAAGGATGAACCATAAAGGGACAGGAGGGAAAACAGATGAGATACTTTGTGTGTAACAGAGGGTTCCAACCTTGTGCCATCCAGAACCAAAGAGTTAAAGAACAGTTGAACTACTCTGTTGGGTTTTATTCGCTCACATAGGTTTGTTTGGGTAAAAGAAAGTATAGGCAATATGGAAACAATCTGTCAGGTACTGATATGTAGTAAACAGGTGATTTTTTTTTTCAAAAGTCAATTACAAAACAGTTTAAACATAGAATAAGCATATCGGATGTCTTCTTTGAGCTACTCACGTTAATTATTTACCTTGTTGTACTCGGTACTTTTTACCATACTGACTCAGAGAGACGAGACAGTCCAAGTAACTACAAAACAGTGCTGATTTATTCCATGAACACAGGTAAAAATTAACATTACACGCTCAGGCATCTTGCACCTCCAAACTGCACGCAGGCAGATGAAAGATGAAAGACCCCGAACCAAACCAGGCCTATACATTTATCTCTTCGGTTGGGCTAGCCCCATACTACACAGAAACGTCAACCGAGACGTTTCTGGTGCCAGCTTTGCAGCTGGCCATAGCAGTAGTCAAAACATGAAGCAAATCAATGTGTGTTTGTCCTATAAATCAAATTTTCTGATAAGGTGAATTTTCAGTGTTTATGAAGAAATGTGGAAATGGTTTAACCTTTGTTATATGGTGGATATTTTGTGCTGTATGTTGTGATATTGAACATCTTCTTACAAATGAAGTATTGGGTCAGGCTGGATATAAATGGTAAAGGTACACTTTACAAGGTGGTCTGCACTGTATTGATTTCTGAGTGAACTTACTGCTGAATTACATACGCTAATCAGTGTTCAAAGTTACTAGAAACACTTGCTCAAGTACAGTTAAGTTCAGTTTTAAGGTACTTGCACTTTACACAAGTGTAAAGGAACATGTAATGCTACTTGAATTTATACATACAAAAGCTGACAGTTCATAAAGTATTATGCAGGACTCTTACAAGGAATGGAGCATTTTTAAATGGTGACATTGCTACTTTTACTTACACAGGGTTGACAGAGGCGCTCCATGTTACAGTAACCTCAGGGTTGAATATCACACGTTTGAGTCTGATCTTAAAGGCTGCTGGCATCTGGTACCGTTACACTTTATCTGATTAGTTTTATGTAATGAAAAAGGAAACTGCTAGGTTTACTGTAGGTGGAGGAGATGGTTTACATATGCTCCAGACCTGTGATTTAAAAGAACGATTTTTCTTCCTAGCTGTTGGTTGTTTGCCACGACTTTTCTTCCTAGCTGTTGGTTGTTTGCCACGTTGCTGTAGGCTAAAATGTATGTATGTCTATGCAGTGTGCTACAAAAAATAAAAATCCCAGCACACAATAGAAAGTTACTTTCCATTACTCGGCAGTATAAGCACTGATGGAGCATGTGTCTGTATCTTCTATTAAAGGTTGTTCTACTTTCCAGAGTCTTTGCTCCAGTAGCATGACCTCACAGCCTGGCACACCCACATGTTGCACAGAGCAAAGTGAATGTGGTTGCACCAGTGGTAACGTGACCATAGTTTCACACACTTCATTTCACTGATTAGCACACCTCCACCCGAGAGGATGAGTTAATGAAATACAGGGATTGCTTGGAAGGAACCCCTTAGGGCTTTGATTTAGTGAGAGTTATTGGTTAATAAGAAATCACAGAATCACTAACACCCTGCCCATTCATCTGTTAAACTGTCTACCATGATATAATTTAACTGTGAGCCAACCGGACTTAAAAATGGTGCTAGAAAAGAAGCGTCAGGGCCGAATGCGCACAAACTACACACAGAGAAAGCTAGGCAGAGTCCTGCAAGTCATGACATGAGGGAGTGAGAGAGTACTAAGAGAGACGTGGAGAAGGGGGCAGGTGTAGATGTTTAAAACTGAGTGACATGGTGAATTACAATAACAAGAGGGGAGAGGGCATCAAAGTAGGAAGACTACTGTTTTGCTTGGACCTTTGGATGAGTCTGTGTTAAACCTGGCAGCTAAGAGCAGACAATCACCCATGCTGAGTATACTGTAGTTCTTCTCTTCCCTCTCACCCCTATGTTGGGTCATTCTTTCTCCCCCTCTCACCTTGTTATTTACCACAGGTACTCAGGTATTTACCCTTGGGGTGCTGAGAGGTGCAAGGTGCACTTTTGTCCTCTTGTCAGGGCCTGTGTGGGCCCAGGGGGGCACCAGC